TTTGTTAAGGGACATCCACTCAGCCGTCTTTGTTAAGGGACATCCACTCAGCCGTCTTTGTTGAGGGACATCCTGCGGCTGCTTTTGTTAAGGGACATCCACGCAGCGTCCTTTGTTAAGGGACATCTTTCCACTGTGTTCTGTAAGCTGTCAGCCTGCATACGGTCACATGCACATACTGGATGCGAGGTGAGTGTAGCAGCAGATACACAAAGGGAGCCTTGGGATTCACACGAGGCTGAGGCGCACAGCAGATCATCATAGTGTCAATAGGCTGACTGCGTCTCATTCATTCAGAGAGCGATGCCTTTGTTCGTTCTGTCTGTAGTGGCATCATCCATTCATTTTCTCTATATTGTTATCCTCATAAAGCTTATGGTTGGATGACCTATTTTCAGATGGAAACCCTGCGTTTCTGGTATGGTGGCCTGAATCCTGCCCAGGGTGCCGTCTGCCCTCTGCCACTGGGACGGGCTCCAGGCCGCTGGGACCCTGTGCAGGATACATGGCTGCAAGGTGGATGAATGGAAATCATGAAGGGACATCCTCAGGATTTTTGTCTTTTTAAACCAAATAGCACAAGTAGCTCAGTAGATGTGCATTTCAGCGCTTCTGTAAGTGTTCGTCGTTATTGTACTCTCACACTTTATTGGATCAGCTGACTATATTGTGGTTATATTGTGGTTATATTGTGGTTATATTGTGGTTATATTTTGGTTAATGGCAAAGTGTAAGTGTTGATAAGCAGTATAAAATGTGTCCACGTTTCACTGCGGAATGATCCTGATATTGCCTGTTTTCTTGTGCGCTCAATGGGCTATTTGATGCTGCATTGCTAAGAGAGGGAGGCAAACGGCAGGTCAGGTGCTTTCCGGAGCGGGCGTGTCGGGGCCGATGGCGGGCGGTGGACGGCGGGCGGGCGGTGGACGGCGGGCGGGAGGGCCGCTGTGACGCGCCGCTCTGCTCTCTCGTCCCACAGGGCGACGGACACAAGCTGCTCTGGCGGGACACACCACCGGCTTCCTGACCTGAGCAGACCCAGCCCTGCAGGTGTGCTATAACATCTATGTTCTTCATTTTAATCGCCGTTTGTGCCTGCATTCATTCATTCATTCATTCATTCACCCCCCACCCCTCCTGTGTGACCCCAGTGTGTCTCCTAACCCAAACCCTACTGTCATGTGAGATGGGGGCTGATTGCGTCTCTGTCTCTGTTTATCTATGGCAGTATATGGGTTTGTATTTAGTACATTTCGGTTGAGCCCCTATGTCCACAGAGGCCTAAGAGGGACAGGCATGTGTGTATATATGTGTGTGTGCACGCATGTGTGCATGCCTGGTCCAGATATAGCTTACTTTGTGGGGACCAAATGTCCCCACAACGTGATGAATGGCTCTTTTCTAAAAATCCGTGACTGCAATCAAAAAATTAATCATGCAAAAGTGCTTATATTCGGTTATTTATGGTTACGGATAGGGCTGGGTAGGGAATAAGGTTGTCATAGCATTAGCATTTTTCCCATAGAAATTAATGAACGTGCGTGTGTGTGTGCGTGCACATGTGTGTGTGTGTATGTGTGTGCGTGTGTGTGTGTACGTGCATGTGTGTGCGTGTGTGCCTCCCCTCCTCAGCCTTGAGCCTCCGGGTAGGATGCTGTGCCGTTTCTGGTGCCTGCTGACCCGTGATAAAGGCCCTCACTGGCTGTAAAGTGGCATTGTTGCTGTCATCAAAGGCAGTGCAGAAGAGAGCCACTCGGGGGGGTTCGAGACGTATCTGGGACGCTGTTTGGGAGCCAATCCCGGCCTGAGGCTTCAGACACGTGGCCTGTCCTGATTCTTCATGCTTCAAGTGGACAGGGAGCAGCCTGATAAAATAAGGGGTGACCTCTCCACTGTCCCCTGTCCCCTCCCAGCCATCCTCTCAGCCACCCGACAAGGGACCTTCCTGTCCCCTGATGTCACCTTGTGAACACTGCTCTCTCCTTAGCTCATGATGTCTGACGAGACCAAAATGTGTGATGAATCCTTTGGGTCAGAAGAGGGCGACGCTGAGCCATTTCTGGAGGAGGGGGAGAACACCAGGGAGCTGCTGGGGAGGCTCAGGGAGCTGGAGGTAAGCAGTAGGGCATTCAGCAGGCACAGGCAGGGTCTGGGACCCCTTTTTAACCACATCGTTTTAACAGTAGATTATTAACATACTAAAAAAAACATTCTTTCCCTATTGGCCATTCCATTTAATGGTCTGCTGTGTCCTGGTTTACTTGTCTTTCACCTTGTGCTCTGTCGCCCCCTACAGGCAGAGAACTCCGCTCTCGCTCTCGCCAATGAGAGTCAGAGGGAGGCATATGAACGCTGTCTGGATGAGGTGAGTCTCACATCTTGTCGCAGAAAAGTGCCAAGGACTGGGTCAGTCAGAATGAGCCAATCAGCTAATCCTGTGTGATTTCCCAGGTGGCCAATCACGTGGTTCAAGCTCTGCTCAACCAAAAGGTAAGAGGATGGACGAATAGTGCACTCATGACAGGACAAGGGAACCCCGCTGTACACACTCACTCATAAATATACTGCGGTTTGTATTTCTGTGTCCATGGTGGAGTCTGGATCACAACCGTAGAATTAAACTGGGTGTCACATGATCTATTGATTTGAGCCTGCTGTACAACCCTGCTTCCAAAAAATTTGGGACACTGTGTAAAATGTTAATAAAAACAGAATGCAGTGATTTATAAATCGTATAAACCCATATTTAATTGACAGTAGAACAAAGACAACATATCAAATGTTAATGTTATCGTTTTATAAGAAATACATGCCCGATTCAATTTGGTGCCAGTTGCATGTTTCAAATAAGTTGGGACAGGGGCATGTTTACCTCTCTTCATTTACAGTAACTACACTCTGTAAATGTTTGGGAACTGAGGAGACCAAGGGCCTGTTTCAGGAAGCAGGATTTCTTGGTGAGCCGGATAAGTTGTCAGATTTAAGGTAGTCTGGGCTAAATGGACTTAATCTGTTCACTTATATTTACCCCAGACTACCTTAAATCCAACAAGTTATCCAGCTAAGCAAGAAACCCTGCTTTGTGGAACTGGCCCCAGATGCTGCAGTTTTGAAAGTGAAATGTTGTCCCATTCTTGCCCGATATAGGATTTCAGCTGCTCAACAGTTCAGGGTCTCCTTTGTTGTATTTTTCATTCCTTGATGCACCAAATGTTTTCAGTGGGTGACAGGTCTGGACAGCAGGCAGGCCGGTCTAGCACCTGGACTCTTCTACTACGGAGCCATGCTGTTGTAATACACAAAGAATGCAGTTAGGCATTGTCTTGCTGAAATATACAAGACTTTCTCTGAAAAAGACTTTGTCTGGATGGCAGCATATGTTGCTCCAGAACCTGTATATATCGTTCAGCATTAATGGTACCTTCCCAGATGTGCAAGCTACCCAAGCCATGGGCACTAATGCACCCCCACACCATCATGGATTCTGGCTTTTGAACTGTCTGCTGATAACAAGCTGGATGGTCCCTCTCCTCTTTAGTCCAGAGGACACAGAGTCCATGATTTACAAAAAGAATCTGAAATTTTGATTCATCAGACCACAGGGCAGTTTTCCATTTTGCCTCAGTCCATCATAATGAGCTCAGGCCCAGAAGGCGTTTCTGGATCATGGTTAGATCTGGTTTCTTCTTTGCATGGTAGAGTTTCATCCTGCATTTGTGGATGTAGCGAACTGTATTCAAAGACGGTGGTTTTCAGAAGTGTTCCTGAGCTCATGCAATGATTTCCAATATAGACTCATGTCTGTGCTGTCTGAGGACCCAAAGATCACAGCTATTCAATGCTGGTTTTCAGCCTCGTCCCATCCATATAGAGATTTCTCTGGATTCTCTGAATCTCTTCATGATATTATGTACCGTAGATGATGAAATTTGCAATATTACATTGAGGAACATTATTCTAAAATAGCTGCATGCAGTCTTTCACAGAGTGGTGACTCCCACCTGCAGTCTTTCACAGAGTGGTGACTCCCACCCATCTTCACTACACAGAGACTCTCTAGAAGGTTATTTTTATACCCAATCATTTTACTGACCATTCGCCAGTTAACCTAATTAGTTGTCAGATACTCAACCAGGTGTTTTGTTTTAGCATTATAAGTCTTTTCCAGCCTGTTGTTGCCCCTGTTCCAACTTTTTAAAAACATGTTGTTGGCATCAAATTCAGATTCAGCATATAGTTGTCATAAAACAATAAAACAAAATAGTCTCTTTTGTTTGATATGTTGCCATTGTTTTATTTTCAATTAAATATGGGTTTATATGATTTGCAAATCATTGCATTCGGTTTTTATTCGCATTTTACACACCGTCCCTACTCTTTGTAGTCGGGGTTGTAGAAAGAGGCCCTCCTGACAGGTGTGTGCATTTGTGCGTGTGGCTCATCTAGGACTTACGGGAGGAGTGTATCAAGCTGAAGGTGAGGGTGTTCGACCTGGAGAGGCAGAACCGGGCCCTGAGTGAACTTCTGAACCAGAAGCTCCACAGTGAGCTCAGCCCCCACCAGCAGGTCAGGTGGCACTAGGCTCTACTCCGTGTCTTCTTACCAAAGTATACGAAAAAAAACACACCCAGCAGTGCCATTTACCACCGCTCAGACCATGCATACATTCATCTGTGTGGGACCCCTGTTGGTCACACACAGTCACTACACTAAATATTAAAAAACACCTTCCTAATTTATAAGACGCTGAAGCAGCGTGTTCTGCTAACCAGCTAGCGAGCTGAGATCTTCTGACTCACTGGCTATTGATTTAGTTTTTGAAACCTCTGGGGGGGGGGGGGGACCCATATACAGAGACACATAAATGGGGAACAAACCAAAGCAGGAGGTTCACCTGAGGAACCTCATGTTCCTCACAGCAGATCCTGCTACATGTGTTTTCCTGCCTGGCAGTTTACTCACAGCTCTGTGTTTTTCTTGTTGTAGGCATCTTCTGGACCTCAGCTGGAGCCTGGTCCTGATCCACTCCTCGCTGGTACTAACAGGCAGCCAGAATCTCAACATGAAACAGCAACCAAGGTAACAGAACCTGTGTTTCTCGCATGTTAAATTATATAGAAAATACGAATGGAAGCCGGCTGAGGAGTTTGTAGATTTTACTTTCTGTTTTGGCCTGGGTTGGGGATGCATGTGGATGTGTCACTCAAGCGCCTTTAAACTTTCATGGCCTTGCAGTTTCACTCATCTGAAGGTCTCTTATTGCAGAGTGATGGGGAACACACGAGGGGAAATACCCCAGGTGCTCAGGGACTCGCTGTGTCCATGGAGGCTCTGTCCCCTTTCTTCAAGAAGAAAGCCCACATCCTGGAAGTGCTGCGTCGGCTGGAGGAGACCGACCCTCTGAAATTCTACCCAGGCGGGGGTCTCCCATCCTGCTGCCATTTCACACCGGCTTTGGTACCAGCCGGGGCCACAATCACGTCACACTTGTGTCTGGACACCAATGCGTCAGCTGTGATGAATGGCGAAGGCCATGGGACTCCACACGAGAGCTGCCAGTCCTGCTTGATGCTCTCCCAGAGGAATGTGGACGTGGGCGCTAAGGTCCACCAAGTTAGAGGCACTTCACAACCCAGAGCAGAGGAGCAACTTGATGGCCAAGGGGACTCAGGTTCCCAAGCCACTGACCCTCCTTCTGGCAGCACAACCAAACCATGCATGCACAGCACACCTGCGGAGGAATCCGGGTTACCCACGGACCCCTCACACACCGTCAGTACCGATGCTTACCTCTATTCCATTATTAAAGACGCTGCTCAGAAACATCCTTCCAGTGAAACACCAGAGGGAGGGGAGCCCAGTGAAGAGAGATACTGTGACAAGCACTCGGGTGTAGCGCTAAGCATGCCGTGTACATCACAAGCCAATGAACTGGACTCCCTGCCCCTGAAGCACATAGGCGCAGTAGCCATCCAAAGCTTGGCTACAGGACAGATCGCGGAAGGGTACTGCTTCAAACTGGCCAGTGAAGTAGCAAAGGTGAAGAACTACTTGTACACCTCTACCTCATACCAGCCAGTCCCTGGTGTGATAGACCACCAGGCCAGGGTGCAAATCTGCAATAGACTGCACCTCGCATCCAATGAGGACCCAAGTCTTAGAAATCTGGCGGTGGCTGATTGTGGCCCCGTCCCTGACAACAGCACAGTGCAGCAACCATCCCCTGGGAAGGTAAGCGTTGCACTCGGGCCCACGTCCATTTCATGCCTTAGCGAGGCTAAGGCCTCCCCGATCTCCTCCCCCTCCAGGCTGCTCAGGTTCCTAAAAATCCCTTCAATGGGAGAGCGGGCGCAAGTGGCGAGTCCCCTACGACTGAGCCCCCAGCTCACCCGCAGCTCCAAAATACCCTGCCGGAACAACACCTATGAGATTTACCACTCTGCAGTTGTGTCCCGGCAAGCTACCAGCACAGAAAGGGAAACACAGTCGTCTTCCTCAAAGACTAATACGTACCCCGCTACGCATTCTGCACCCGCTTCCCCTCCCAAGGATGCCTGTTTGTCTGTGGCTAAGAATTATGTTTTTAACAGTCACTCTGCACCAAAAGCCAGCTGCAGTGCCAAGCTGAAACCAGCACAGAGGAACATCCAGAAGCAGCCCCACTACGAGAATGTATCCGGCCATTCAGCTGCAGGAGTACCGCAGCACCTTGAAAGGATGAACATTTCTCACTTTCCTCCCTACCCTGGCCACTCGGATGCTCCAGACACACAGCCGAGCTCCAGCACAGAATTGTCCTCGGGCCTCCAGTCATCAAGCCGCGACACTTATGCAGAAAGTGCGCTCTGGTACCAGGCACAGAGCCACCACAGTCTGCCCAACTCCTTGGTTTTTCAGAAAGCCCAGAGTGGATGCGTTTTCTCCGGTGTGAGGGAGAAAACACCAGACAGATATGCTCCACGGGGCCCCGATGTCATCCGGGCTAGTGATAGCCCTAAGAGAGGTGATAGCCCTTCCGTTTCAAAGAAGCAAATGGTAGCGAAATCCGAGGGAGATTCCTGCCATCTGCTATTCAAGGAGCGCTTAGCCGCACTCGGCAAGCTAAGGAGCACTGACGACTTACCGGTGAATCCAAGAGCGGTGGACAGGAGGCATGCCCGGTGCAGCGGCGGCAAAGTCTCTGGGGCGAGCATTAACGAGAAAAGCAGGACGGCTGAAAGGCAGGGCGACCGCACTCCGTCGGAACACAAGCACACCAAGTACACAGGTTCCCTAGATGGAAAGTCTTACCCTAAAGCCAATCTCAGTAGCTATGCTTTGAAGTCCCCAGGCACCTGCCTGCCTTGTGAACCAGGAGCCAAGTCACTGCCATTGGGCTCTGTAGCTGCCAAGACTGAGATTGAGATGTCCTCCTCCAGAGTTCATGCAACTAAGCTCAAGGGTGGCATGCCGTCATCCAGCACAGAACCCCCTCACGTTCTACGCAACTATGTGAAGTGCGTACCTTCCCACAGTACCAGAACTACTCCTAGCCCTCAGAGCAGCCCAGCAAAGGTCTCATCAAAGTCCCCCTCCAGACCTGGCCAGGCTTCCTCCTATCCCCGAGGGAGCAAGCCTGCTCATGATGATCGTGGCTCTTCACAAAAGCAGGCATCACGGCCAGAAGACAGAGGCAAGCTAACCGGTAGTAAGAAAAGGAGTGCCGTCTACGCTGAAGGCCACCCGGCCTCACCTGCAAGGCAGTATGTTCCTGGGCCTCGATCTGCCATCGAGCAGAAAGTCATGAAGGGGATTGAGGAGAACATGCTGAAGTTGCAGGAGCAGGACCGAGGGCAGGGCGCCGAGGCCAAGCAGAAGGCCTCCAACGGCATTGCCAGCTGGTTCGGCCTGAGGAAGAGCAAGCTGCCGGCACTCAGCCGCAAACCCGACACATCCAAACCCAAGGAGGGGAAGCTCAGTGCGTCCTCCATGGGAAAGGATCCCAAAGCGGCCACCAAGAAGAAGCTGGAGGTGGAGAGCCTGAATATCTCCAAGCTGATGGAGAAGGCAGAGGACCTGCGGCGGGCCCTGGAGGAGGAGCGCGCTCTCATGAACGGGGTGGCCCTGGACCGTCCAGGGAGGGGGCACTCTTGTGAGGTAGTGATGGACCAGGCTCAGGGGCAGCTATCAGTCATGTATAGGGGGGTGACTTCTGACAACTTCATGCAGCAGTTGCTGAACAGGTAAGAATAATAAAAGCATGACCCAGTGATGTGAGAAAGCTTAGGGTGTATGACCCAGTGATGTGAGAAAGCATAGGGTGTATGACCCAGTGATGTGAGAAAGCATAGGGTGCATGACCAAGTGATGTGAGAAAGCATATGGTGTATGACCCAGTGATGTGAGAAAGCATAGGGTGTATGACCCAGTGATGTGAGAAAGCATAGGGTGTATGACCCAGTGATGTGAGAAAGCATAGGGTGTATGACCCAGTGATGTGAGAAAGTATAGGGGGTGAGCCTGGCCTAGGAGCTGAATGCTGTTGTTCTGCTCCCCTGCTGCAGGGTGGACGAGCGGGACACAAGCCACTTTGGTCTGGCACACCGGCGCCTCTCTTTTGACTCCAAGAAGTCCAGACCCCTTTTTATCCACCACAGAAGTGGCGGCATTCCTCACACCAAGAGTAATGAAGACATGGAGAAGGTGTGGGCCTTTCCTGACTGTTACGCTGCTTCTTTGCCAAGTGATTTTTTTTTTTTTTGAGTACAGATGGCCTTTGAAAATGGAGATCATGTTTTGCTCTGTGTTCAGGGCTCGGGCATGGTGAGAAAGGGTGAAATTACATCAGAGGAGAGCCTGGCTGAATCCGTCACCTCCCAGCACTTTGCAGGTAAGGAAATGGAAGCCTTTAGCTTTGAAAAACAACCCTTTTCAGTTCATTTCAATGGCCTGAGGCCTAAGATCATGCCAGTGTCTGTAAGGCCTGCACTTAGACCCTTCAGAGTCACCACTGGGGTGTCAGACCGAGTACAGATGCTAAATGATAGCTACTGGAGTATTGTGAATGGATGCTTTGTCACAGGGGCTGGCCTGTGCTGACTGGGCTCCTCATCCCTGTCCACAGGCTCCGCTGCCTCCACACACACACTGGACAGCGGCATCGGCACCTTCCCTCTACCCGACTATACGGGCAGCGCGCTGGGGATCCCGAGGGTGAAGCCCCATCAGGAGCGAGACACGCCGCGGCCAGGGACCAAGGCGTCCCGCCGGACCCGGACCCTGGAGCTGTCGGCTTTGGAGGAGGCTCCCCCGAGGGATGCAGAGCAGAACAGAGAAACGCTCTATGCCGCCGCCCTGGAGGAAAAGGCCACCGCTGCACCCCTGTCCTGCACCATCACAGGAGGTAAGGAGGAACATCTTCATCTCCATCCCAGCTAATGAATGACCAAACGTGTGACCTGTCTTCTTGGGGCTGAATGAACTGGTCTGGATCTCCTGCAGATGACAGTACCGATGACGCCTTTGGAGCGCAGGTAGCCTCTTTACCCTCTAAGAACTGGACCTTTCCCAGCGTGAAAGCTCCTGCGGGCCAAGCAGAGGTGTACCTGGGTGTCGGGGAGGAGGTGCAGCTGGCCAGCCATGGGAGTCCCTTCAGACAGGTGTGAAAGGCGAGTCCTTTGTGGAGGCATGAACAGGACATGGCCTGAACATGTCAACCATGGAGAGATGCACAGCGAAACTCCATTAAGATATATGTGTAAAAACCAAGCTGCGGCCTTGAGCCTGGAGAAGGTGTGGCTTGCTGGGGGTGTGGCCAGTAGAGGGTATAGCATACCAGGGCGGGACCTGGAGAGGGTGTGGCTTGCTGGGGGTGTGGCCAATAGAGGGTATAGCATACCAGGGTGGGACCTGGAGAGGGTGTGGCTTGCTGGGGGTGTGGCCAGTAGAGGGTATAGCATACCAGGGCGGGACCTGGAGAGGGTGTGGCTTGCTGGGGGTATGGCCAATAGAGGGTATAGCATACCAGGGCAGGACCTGGAGAGGGTGTGGCTACTGTAGCTGATGGATTCGATAATGGAATGTTTCCTCCAAAGAATGGCAGCCTAGTTTATGCTATTAAATAGGTATACCTGCTTTCGTTATTATTTGTTTACCTGCAGACAAAACGGCTCTCCCCCTGATGGTTTGGAGTACCGTAAAACTAACATCCCCACGCTCTCCTCAGATTCTGAAGCCCTCTGGCCCACCAGCCCCCACTGAAGCTGAGTCACAGAGCCTTTCACTACCTCCTCAGCAGGCACAGGGCCGCCGGGCCAAAGGTCGAGCTCCCAGCAGCCCTGAGGTGGCCAAGGAGGTGGGGCTGGAGCTGGGGAATGAGCGGCCAGACGGCGTGACGTCTGCCAGCCAGCCCCAGGTGCTGGAGACCCCGGAGTCGCCGAGCGACTCGCTGTACGACAGCCTTTCCTCCTGCGGCAGCCAGGGTTAAGGGGTGGAGTCACACATGTAGCCCCGCCCTCAGAAGGGGGCGGAGCCTGAGTCCACAGCATCTCTCCAGTCTCTGCTGGACAGTGGACTTGGCACATGATCACCGTTCCTCAGGGTCTGACCAAACAGCAGAGCCGCAGATATCTGAAGAGGACTGAGCAGATAGACAACCTGAACCCACTTCTGAAGCTCTTCCAGAAAGATGGACTCAAGGTGGAACTCCTCACAAAATTGGGAGGATTTCAGTCTTGGGAGACCAAGATCATGTCAAATTAAATAAAGTCCGGATTGTCCCAGCCGCGAAAGTCACACTGTTATCCCCACTTAAGATTCCTTTTTTAGTTTAATTTTAATTGGTAGATAAACATATTTTAATTGATGCTTCTCTTAAGTTTTGTATCGGTTCTGATGTGAATATTGTTGTCATCTATAGTTCTGCATTTCTGTTTCCTAATGATTGCTTTTTTAATGAACCGGCAGAACTTGCGGCAGCGCCTGACCCTCTGTGTTACAGACTGGAAACGATTTAAAATTGCAGTTCAAGTTGGCAATAAATTTGTGAGCCCAAACAGGTGGAGCTGAGAGCAGAACCTGGTGTCCTGTTTGCTTCAGAAGAGCCTGTGGCACCCTACACTACTTCAATTTAGCAGAGGTTTTTGTCCAAAGAGATAAATAGGTGAGAGAGCAGAGTCAGTAAGTCCCTGATGCAACTGACCTTAAAGGCCTTGTTCAAGGGCCCAACGGTGAAATCACTGGGCTGGTAATGGCGTTTGAACCTGTGACCTACTGATCACAAGTGCTAATCTGCAGAGCTGCACACTGTCCCAGGGAAACAGCACCTGTTCACATCCCCTGTTTACACACCGGAACTGTCTCCCTGTTTGCTCTCATTCACATCGAGATCATGTGTGATGCACGCCATAGGCAAATCGACGGACCGTGGCCAGTTGAGCTGGTATCTGTGTACTTCCCCCGAGCTTGAGTGTGTGCCACCCCCGCCTCGGGGTGGCCCTTGTTTTATGCTGTTCATCAGCTGGAAAATCCCACAGAAAGACAGAGCCTGGACTCAAACCCACAATCATCTGGTTATCAGGCAACAGAAACCTGCCCACACAGATACCTCCAGGAATTCCTTCGCAAAATCATTAATGTTCAGGTCGTCAGGTGCCCTGAGTACGAGGTGTGCCTTTGCATTTATAAGTGTGTAAATCTGCCATCCTGGGCACACAGATGCCGGGGGGGGGGTTGTTGTTTATGGGGCCCCAGTCAAAGAAAAAAAGTCACCCCCTCCTCGCATTTACATTTCTCTGACACTTTCATCCAAAAGCTACTTACAGTACAGGGGAGGCTTACAATTGATGTGTATTACATGGGATTTTAACCACCGACCTTTGACTTGTTAGGGCGGCGCTTCTACTTGTTGAGCCTTGAGGAGGACAAAACTAAATGAATAGCTATAGTGTGTATAGTCAGAGTATTGTATCTAGCTATTTGGTCAGCAGAATATGCTGCTTCAGCATCTCCTAAATAAGGAACATGGTAATTAATATTTAGTGTAGTGACTGTCTGTGGCTGACGGGGGGGCATGCAAATGCGTGGTTTGAGAGGTGGGGGTAGACGTGCCTGTCAATGCTGGAATATTCCTCTTTGCGGTGGGGAAACCCGGGACTACCCTTCATACACAGCAATTACTGTGTATGAATCATTGCGCTCAGGTGGATCCCTCTCTGTCCTGCAGAACAAACAGTGGAGTGTGGCGGTCACAGCGTGGGGGACAACCCCGGCCTCTCAGGTATCACTGGAGAAACGCAGACACCAGCAAGTGTCAACATGAGCTTGATTTCCATAAGCCGCAGTGATGGCAAACCTGACCTATATATTTATTTGTGTAGTGCCGCACAGAGGTAGCAATACACAACAAATGACTCATCAAATGTCACAATAAAGAAATGGGTTTCTTCCAAACATATACCTTCTAAGCATTTATCATGGTCAGGATCATGGGGGGGTATGATCCCAAAAGCCAGGTAGTCCCATTCCCAATGCAATTTAAGAAAAATAAATAAATAAATAATTATATATATATATATATATATATATATATATATATATATATATATATATATAAAATCGTCAGCAGAATTCGGTTCTTACCTAACTAACTGACAGAGGGGAAAAAAACTAAAACACAGAATACTGGATCCAAGGTTGCTATACATAACTCGATATCCCCATATTCACAGTGCCTTCGACCTTAGAAACCTTGCTGATCTAGCGTTTCAGCACCTTCGTCTACCGACTCCCACCCTTATTGGCAGTAACAGTTCATTTCCTGCTGTAATATCTGACAACAAAATCAAGCAACATCAACTAGTTTCCCAGATCACTTTACGGGCGACTTTGATATTTCAGTGTTTATAGTTGCATGTCACGGTCAATAACTGTGTTGCTTTCCGTAATGATAAGACACAGTGTAATTATTAATAAATATGTATAAAACACATAATCTGGTAATTAAATGGCATGTATTGTAATGTGTCTATTCAAAGTAAAAAGGGTAGAATTAGTGAAATAATAACTATAAAACTAAATAGCTGTCACTCGCTTACATGGGTAGTGAATGGACACAGTGCAATTATTAATAAAAACATCAGGTTTAGTCTCATGTTTTTTGCACAGGTCACTTCAGGAGTTCCGGAGTTACGACCTCAATGATTTTTGCAACAAGCAATACCTGGCGAATGAACTATTTTATGTAGGCCTACATCATGAACTTAACCGAAATCCGCAGAAACTCCTTTATTGTGAAAACGAGCGTGGCAGTAGCCAACAACACATATAGGCCTATGTGGCCATTCTCAGGAACATGAAATAATCCTTAACCAAAAAAAAAAAATTGTAGCAATTTTATACAGTGTTTGAAATTTGTATAACTTATTAGGTATATATTAAAATTACGTAATTTATAGTTCTTTTTTTGTGACCAAATTTGTAATTTATAGTTCTAATCGCTCCACCATTTCCCCAGACAGTACTAATTGCATTTATAAGATCAAATAACATAAAACTAGATAAAACATTTATAAATTTATAAATAATAAGATGTACATTCATTTCTTCAAAATCGACGTTTATCAGCAATATATTTTAAGTACTTCTGTTGTCAATCTAATAAAAAACAAACTAGGGGAACTTGATAGACTGTGTTACGGTAATGAGTTCGTGAGAATGATCGAATACGTGAAGACCTACATCGGCGTTTTCCCCCCTCTTCATTCAGAGTAAATCTGTAAACAAGTAAATTCGCCTAAATAGTAAATATGGTGTAAATCTTAGGATTATTAGTAACGTGGACTGTATATTTAGAATGCATAGCAGGAAAAAAAAATAATGCAATCAACTGCATAACCATACTACGCGATGTCCGTATTAAAACCATTTTCTAGTCACTACCACTAAAAACCCACAAGTCTACCCCATTTAGCGTAGAATGGTTACCAATTAGGCGAGTATCCTGGTCAGGTAGGTCCGTTGGGTGTATGTATGAAGCGTATGTACCTACCCTACTTTATTAAACATACTTAGAACATTTACATTAGCCTGCAGTTGGGCAGAATCATTAACAATAAGTGTATTTTATAATAAAGTGTTGAATACCTCATGTAATTTACTGAATAATGTACTGAAATTGAAAAACATTTACCCATCGTAAAGCTGAAATATTGTAACACGGACCATCGGAAGCCGGGGAGCCTCTGTATGAGCTAGACCCCTACTGGTATTTGCTTGTATATTTTTATATACTAGTATGCTATATAATTCTTAAATAGTATGTTATCTAATTCTGTATTGAAACATTGTTTCTAAATGTGTGATACATGTCAGAACGTTTAGTTTTGTTACATGTTCGGCTTTCTGTTAACTGTAGTATTGCGTTTGGCAGTGTAGAGTAGCGTGACGTAATACTCCCTTGCCAGAGCTCGTAGGGATAACGCACCTACTGTAGTTAGCGGCATAACGCGCTAAACCGACATTTACATGCGACACGCTCATATTTTGGTGTTTCTCCGCCCAAAGTGCGTAATCGCCTAAGTGCACTTAAAACCCACACTTAGGTCGATGGGGAAATACGATTAAGTCAAAAAGACGTGCGCCTTTTTGGACCTAATTCATGCGAAACATCCTAGAACCTCTTGCATTTAGTTCTGCTCAATTAGTATTTGGACGCACAGTTCAGGGTCCATTGAAATGATCATATAAGAAATTGTTGTCTCAAGAAGAGAGTGCTAAAACCAGTGTGCTTGTTTTTGTTAGCAAACTGTGGGAACATTTCAGGAAAGAGGTTGAGTATCTGTTGGAGGATGGATTTGCAATTCCTACTGTTCTTAAAGTTTCCTTGTCTATTAGTGCATTTGTACTTCTGTACAGATTATAGTAAAGTTAATGTCATCACAAAACCTGATTCGTTTCCCTTTCCTCGCATGGAGGATTGTAGGAGGGTGTACACTAGTGGCCAAAATTGTGGAAACACTTTAAAACTTTATTTACTGTTGCTGCAGTTGCTTATTTAATCGCCCAGTGTATGATTTTATGAATATGGGCAGAGTGGTGGCTTTGAGGCTGGGGATCTGTGCTGGCAACTGGAAGGTTGCTGCTTTGAATCCTGTGAATGCCAAGAGTGATTCTACTCTGTTGGGCAAGGCCCCTTAAGCAAGGCCCTTAACCTGTAATGGCTTCGTGCTGGTTGTGATGTTAACCTACATCCAGCCCTGCAAGCAGGTCCTCTAACTTTCAGGAAAAAATTTGGGGGTTGGTGGCAGGGTTGCTTCACACTGTTCCATTCCACTCAAACTAGTGTGGTGCTGAGGTATCACCCGCTGCACAGCTGCCCTTGGATTCTCATGCCTTAGGTGGTTCGTCATGTGGTGGATTTGGCAAAGCTCTGTATCAGTGTGTGCTCCTGAATTCTCTCACTGCTATGGAAAGATCTCTGAGGGCCAGTTACGTTTGTTTTTAAGAATGGCTGGACGTTACCAAGGCTTTTGTATAATTTTTTTTTTTGCTGTTGTGACTTCACTAACCGACCTTTTACATGGCAATAGGTTTCTATTTGGTCAGACGATTGTCAAAATGTGTTTGAATTCGTGAATGTTTTACCGTGTGGCACACTCATTTTGGCTGCCTTTGAGTTTTCTTGTCCATTTAAACTGGAAGTGGGTGCTAGTATTACTGGGGCAGGTGCAGTGTTATTACAGAAAGCAATCTTGGATCGGTTCTTTCCCCACAGTAGTTTACACCGACCGCAATCATTTGGTTTTCCTAAGTCAAATATGGGTATAATTTCCCTGGTGCCCCTGTAATGAGGAGTCTAGCCCGAGTTAATGGCAGTGACTCATTCTTTTTTATTTAACTCTCCCCTTCCAGTTCCGGGAGTCACACACACACAAGATCGGATGCACACTACAACACATGACGATATACAACAAAAGGTTAATGTGGTGGTATCTGTTTGCTCAGTTGTTCCCATTAAATATCAAACACAAGAAAGTGGTTGAAAATATTGTTGCAGATGCCCAGTCCCATGTCGATA